GGTGGTGTTTTTAAGACTACCAGAAGATGTTGTTTGTCATGCAGAACTCTCCCTGTCACAAAATCGTGTGTAAAATATCAAAATAATATATTTTAATGCCACTGATAATTGTCATCACTTAGTAAAAGCAAAAGCAAATCATATTCATGTGGAAGAATTTGCTTTCTCTCTCCTCAGGCTTTATTGAAGCATGATTTTCAAACTCTCTGTGATGATCACATGCATAATTGCTGCTGTTGCTGTTTTTCAATGCTTCCAGTTTATGTCACATTTCTAATGAAAACCAATACATAGCAGTCACCATGAATAAGCCAACGTTTACCAATAATGACCATACAATGGCATCTGGAATATCACAGCTATCGCCCACTGAACGTTCAGAAAAAAATACATGGGCAACTTGGATGCGACCTGAAAACCGGAGGGTCTTGCCTCCTGAGCACCTTGCATGGATTTTCAGTGGCAGAGCTGCTGAAGCCGGCGTTAGCAGCTCTCCCACCCCTCCAGCTGCTTCTTCCCACCCTTGGGCCGCCCACAGCCAAAGAAACAGCTGTGCCAGCACAATGCAGCGGGTGGTACGGGAACAAGGGCTGGGAATGAGGAGGGCTGCTTAAAACGCTGAAGAAGTACATGCGGTGGTGTTGTACAGTGCTTAAGTTCCTTAGGTGGTTTTAAAACCATCTCCATTCATTCACTCAGCACAATTACTCTGCCACTTTTCCTCATCTCTTCTTGGGTACAGCCTCGGGAGAACGGGAGGAAAAAACACCCTGTGGCCAGCCATGATTTCTTCCCCATATTGGTTGACGCTAAGGATTAATTAATGTCCAAGTGCACTGACAAAACTTCAACCACTGGATGAAACTACAGAACCAAGTCCAGTAGGAGACAAACCTCTGATGGGCACCAGAGCAAGCTCTGAGTTGGTGGAAATGATGGAGCACACAGCATTAGTTTAGTGGAGTGACAAAAGGTGAGTAGCCCTGTCACCCTTCATAAGCACAGTGAAAAACTCAGACAAACCAGATTTGGTAAGCAACAACCTTGTGCCCTGTAACAGTGATCTTCATAGGCGGCATTTTCAACAGTGCTAAAATGCACACTTCTGTTGTCCACATGGGGGTAAATATGGTAGCACAGTCAGATATACTGAAAAACGCCCTGTTAGGATTAGTTGTTTTCAGTTCTCCGTTGTTTTTCACTTGGTGTAAACATGGTTAGAAATTAGAAAGATACCCTTGGCTGCTCCCTAACAATGCTGTTGTACATCTGTCCAACATAAGGGTGCAAACCCAAGACAAGCCATAGTGGGCAGGACCAGCTGGACTGATGGATGGCCAAACAACTCCTTAATGTGGGAGGCAGCAGGCTGTATGGGACCAGAAATACACCTGGCCCTTAGCCAACCGTGTTGACAATCCCACCAACGACAGGCTGCGAGTGCAGGCTGCAGAGCAGGATAGCTGACGGTAGAGCTGTGCTGTTGCCCTGTGCGCAGGGGTAGGCAGGCAGTTACATTCCTTGTTATCTCAGGCTACCACGGCTTTGCTTGCCCTGCTCAGTGGGTTGACTTCCATGGCTATTTGCTCTGTTGTGCAGCAGGAGGAATGAAAGCAGGTTGTTCATAGCCTTTGCCAGCAGCCTTAAGTGAAGTGTGGTAGGTAGACACTTCAGTGGGGTGGAAAAAATTCATCCTGGCCCTGCTTACAGGAGAAAGTGAAGCTGTGAATTTGAAGAGCGCTACCCACTCCACGGTAACAGCTTGCATGCACATTTCTACACGGGCACAAAAGTGAGGTAATTCAAGGTAGTCTTAACCCTCATTTTATGCATGCACACAGTCAGTTCCACCACAGGAGCTCACTGCTGCAAATTCACACCCTAACTCACCCTGCAGGGACTTGTCCAGGTGTTCATATCCCAAGGCAATCTGGCCTAACACAGGGTCACAGTGGAAGTGAGACTGCTACTGTCCCGAAACAGAAAACGAATGACTTCCTAGCCATCAAAGAAGAGCCAAGTTGGTGAAATGAGAATCTGCTATATGAATAAATATATTTTGGTGGATGTAAAGTGGATTAATACTAGCCTCTCAGCTTGAGAAACCCAAGTCATGTGTACCAACAAATGTAATTGAAAGCGTGTGTCTCCGTGGTAGGTATTTTTCAAAAAATGAAAGTGACCACACAGTTTGAAACAACTCATTAATTTGCCATTTCTTCTTTGTTCAAAACAAACATAGGTGTATCATTTAGGGATTAGATCTCCTATTCTCTTTGGTTCTTTAATCTGTTTCAGTGGTCGCTTAAGTCAGATGTTTCAAATAAAAGTTCAAGGAACCATCAGTAAAGATGTGTAGTAATCTGCCTAGTATCTGTACCTCACTTGTTTATTCTCAGATTGAGTGATGATCTGGAACCTGAGGTTTTATACCGCCTTCTGTACATGTTTGTTTTAGTTTATCTATTATGATTTCAAATGTTCTTGCTACTCATAAAAAAATATCTTTCTTTTGTAGCTTGGAACTACTTGACCTCCGTTATATATTGTGACGTGTTCCCTCATCTAAAATCATGTGGTTTGATAAAATGTTTTCTTTCATTGGTAGTGAATTTGTAAACTTTCATTTTCAGTGACAGTTCTACTGTCCTTATGTATCAAACAGTGGGAACAGAAGCTCTCAATGTTTCTTTCTGCAACAAACCATGAAATCAGCATTGGCATACCAAGCAAGGACATAACAATCCTTATTCAAACATAACGGTCAAAAACACTGCCTGCCCCTGGTGGTGCATTAACAAGAGCATGTATCTCTTGGAAACAGTATCTTAAAATGATTGATTTTTAGTTAGGAGTAATTCTTAGAGGCTCAGCAAAACACTAAAATAAAGACTTGAAGGGGGTCCTATGCTCCCCCTAACTTTTCAGTTGTGCTATGCTAGTTTCTAAAGGTGTAACATGAAGAATTGTTTGGCTTCAGGCATTAGGATTGCCTAGATGCAGTCCACCAGTTCCTCATAAATACACCCTTCTTACTCTGCAAATGGAGATGCCTGCTCACAGACTGATCTGCAGGATCCTGCATGACATCTGGCTTCTTCCAGCATTATCAAAATGCTGCTGCAAAGAGCTCCTACAAATGTACGCCTGAAACAGTACATGCCATAGCTTGTGTCTCCCCAGCCTGAGACTGAAAGCACTCTTTCTTTCCAACTTCAAATTCACAAACTCAGGTTTTTGATGTGCTAGATCACTGTGTTGTGGCACTAAGCCTTAGAAGAGGATGATTTCTTCTCATGACCTTCAGGATCTTTTGGAGATCTTCTTGGAGCTTCTGGACCAATCTCTTCCCTGAAAGAATCAAGATATTTTTCCAAGTTCCATGTTATTTGTGCATGAGAAAAATTTGGACATAGAGCAGCTAACACCCGGAAGCTACTTGCATGAAAAAAGATGGCTGAAAAAGCCAAGGAGCTAATCCTCACATTCTGCAACTAGTCCTTGAAATAAGTCTCCAAACAGAAAAGACCAAACATGTTAATTCTTCGGAAGTTGAAGAAAAACTTGAAAATATAACCATAATTCACTTTTGTATAGGTTGCACCAGCAAGGATTTGGCTCAGAAAAGCCCTTGATTAATACAAACAAAATCAGTATAGGTGTTTCAGAAGAATTACAGAACTAAACAGGAAGGCTGAATTAGGGTAATGGGTGATTCTGAATCAGGGCAATGGGTGAGTCTGACCTAGGAAGGATGAATCAGGGTAATTGGCACGCACCAGTCTGATGAGAGAATGTTAATGGTACGTAGCTCTGGGTACCACATGTGAAACCCTGATCTCACTGGACTCAGTGGGAATTTTGAACTGATATTTCAGCATCTGGATTTTACGTCACTCTTCAAAAAGAGAAGAATTAATATTGGTATATGTGTGTGTGTCTAATCAAAGTGCTATTTTTTTTCAGATAGTAAAAAAAATCAGGCATTAATTAGAGGCAAGTAGTGGAGTTGGGCAATGAGCTCAACTTGGAAAATACACCTGAACTGTGGAGAATACAGCTGAAAGAGAAAAGTGGACCAGTCTGGAAAAAGCAGCAGATGGAGTGGAGTTCACAGAATGATGTAGAGCAATAGGCTGGAATAGTGAACAATCCTGGACAGGGAATTAAGGAAGAAATGAAGTAGGCCAGCTTGCCAGGAGGCAGCAGGGCTTACTGGACAGCTCTGATTTCAATGAGTCTCTCACAAGCCACGTTTGCAGGATGTCAATAGTACTCATACTGCATTTATTTTATTTATGAATAGCATCTCTGTGGCAATGGTGAACGCATAAATACTCCAAAGATACAAAAACATAACAGTCGATGGAACATCTCCGTATGATGAAGCTGTGTCATGACACGTTTTAACAAGTCATGACATTAAGCAGCGGCTAGCTGATGTGGTGATGAAGTATCAGGGCACTGCAGTTAACGGCAACCGTAACTCTGCCGATAGTGGGGTTGATCTGACCTGCATAAAACGTGAACAGAGGGACAGCCCTGTCTTCAGTGGGAAAAACAAGAGCGACGCGTTACTGCTCCCCTACATGAAATACTGCCCAACTTCCTTAAAAATGGGTGCTTAAGGCAAGATCCTCATGACCCTGGTTCAGGAGCCTTGTCCTCAAGAGGTGCCGGGTCAGTGGGAATTGTTACATACCGGACATTTTTTACATTCAAGATGGGCCTCTGAGCACGTATCCAGAAAATTCCTCTTGGAATCCAAAGTGCTGTGCTGTCAAGGAGGGCTGGCAGAGCACCCCATCCGCTGCCAACCACCTCCTGCCCGCCAGCATCGGACAGACCTCACCGCTGCCTGGGGGCAGGCGCCCGGTGTCCGGTGGGGGGTTCCCGGCGGGACGGGGGTCGGGGCGCAC